AATGCTGTGCATGAAAAAAAGAGAGCTTAATTTTAGTTATGTCTTATTTATAATGGGGTTTTACACACACACACACACACACACACACACACACACTGAGAGAGAAAATGCAGCAGTAATAATTCTACGTAGTAATATTGTACACAAATATATATTAGAAACATTGTATGCACGACAGAATATGTATTGGAAACATTGCCAGTTCCAACACTAATATTAATTTCTAATATTAATGACTTTTCGGTGCAGGCCTGTAACAATGCCTGCTAAATATTACCCTGATTATTATATAACAGGGAGCAGTGTGCATGAACAGAACAGAAAAAGTCGAACTTCATGTTGATTATTCAAAGATATTGTTTTCAGTTATCACTCAGGAGTGGAGGACGTACTTGTTGCAGTGGAGATATGGATTATTATTATGTTTACATGCCTCCTCCACGCTCAGGTTGGCCTGCGTTCTTTGATTTTATAATTTCGCTGTAATTTATCCGCCCTTACCCGTGTTCACAGTTTCATGGCTCCATGTCGGAATATGTCGGGAAACTTTGAATTCTAGAAAGATTTATTTTACTGCGATGGTGAGAAAAACTGGTTGCTGTAGATCACAGTGGGACATGACCTGCTGGTGAATTAAATGTACAGCTGTATACATTTCCTCGTCTGATTCATTATGTGCACAAAAACTACTCAGATTACTTTAGTAAGGCACTAATTTTTTTAAATTTTTTTTTTACACATTTTAGTATTTAGTAAATTTTAGGGAAATTTCACTGATCCAAACAGTTAAAGGAGCCCTGTTTATTCAGAGTGTAGCATCAAGTCAACTAAACTTCTGTGATCTTGCTCCGATCAGTTACAGCGCATCCAGAAAGTATTCCAAAATGGATTCAATTCATTTTCACCTTAAATTCTACACACAATGACCCATAATGACAAAGTGAAAAATTTTTGAATGAAATTCTTGCAAATGTATTAAAAATTAAAAGGAATAAAAATGTACATAAATATTCAGTCTCTGTCCTGACACTCAGAATTGGAAGTGGAGGATGAAAGTAAGAAGCAGGGTCTTGAAATCGAAAAGGACTCCCAGACCACGAGAAACAAAATTCTCTATCCTACTATTGCTGTTTCCCTACTAGGGTGAAACCTCCTCAAAAAACCCAGGTGAGTAGTAGAAGTTTAGGCCCAGCAGGAACTGTGAGACTAGTCAGGGTCAAGAGAAAGATGAATGCAGGAATTTACAGAGACATCCTTAATGTTAACCACTCTGTTAATGTCCTTAAGATGCAAGACCAGAGCCCAGACTTGAACCTGATTGAACATCTCTGGAGAGATATGAAAATGGCTGTGCACCGATGCTCACCATGCAACCTGGTGGAGCAATCGAGCTTCTGCAAAGATGAGTGGGACAAACTTCCCAAAGACAGGCGTGCCAAGCTTCTAGCATCACACTCATGAAGGCTGGAATTGCTGTCAGAGGTGGTTCAACATAATATTTAGCAAAAGCTGTGAATACTTATGTACGTGTTACATTTTTGTTCTTTATTTTTAATACATTTGCAGGAATTTAAGCAGTTTTTTCATCTTCTCATTAAGGGCTATAATGCAAAGAATTATGAGGTGAAAACAAATTGAATTCACTTTGGAATAAGGCTGTGACGGGACAAAATGTGAATACTTTCCAGATGCACTGCAGGTAACAGGTGTTGCTAATCACTTTGAGGTGCCTTGGTGTTAATGAGACAACAGAGGAGCAACAAAGAGACAGCCACAAAACAAGAATGGTTTTACAGGTGGGGGCCTCTTACAACAGGATTAAGATCGGTAGAGCCGTACAAAATGACCTCTGTCAGGCCACAGGTGCGAAGGTCTCGGACCAAACAATCAGAAACAGACTTCATGAGGTTGACCCACCGTCCTCTAGAGGGGCTTGTGATCCCTGCCCCACACTGTGGAATACGACTGGGATGTGCCATATATATCAGAATCAGCAGGTCTACCACAGGTTCACCTTAAGCACATGTGACAGACACGGAGAAAGAAGGTTGTGCTGCCTGTAACTTTTTTTAGCATGACCGGTTTGGTGGCCATATGATGGTCTGAGCGATATAACCATAGAGGGACGCTCAGACCGCTTCAGGTTACGCAGAGGCACCTGATCGGTATCGGGATGATAGACAGATCGTCAGACTTGACACATTGTCGGGGTTCTTCTTTAAGCAGTGGCTGGTCTCATGTGGACTTCCTAGAGGATCAAGGACTCCATTGCCTGAACCCGACCCACACCTGACCTGAAGCCAAAAAACATCTCTGGTTCATTATGTTTCGGTCCATCTGGCCCTGCCAGGTTGCATCTCAGACTGTCCAGGAGCTCAGTAAAGCCCTGGTCCAGATCTGGGAGGAGTTCCCCAGGACACCATCCTGCTCAATGTTGTCAGGCATGCATAAAAGCACATGAGGACCATACAAATTACTGGGTACTATTTTGAGTTGCTGCAATGACATTTCAGACTAGACTCCTGTGTTTCTTTTCCACTTTTCATTTCCATCCCTGCCCTGATGTGGCATCTTTTAGTTGCTACCCAGTCCATATCAGTACAGATAGCCAGTTTTTCCCCAAGTGTTCCTTTATTATTTTTTATTTTTAGCAGTGTGGTGTAGAAAATAAAACTCCACCAATTTTGAACACTTCCTCTGCAGCACTGGCTGAAATGAAGCCCCGAACCATAACAGAGCCTCCACCGGGGCTTACACATTGCTGTACACACTCACTTTTGTGCTGCTTTTCTGACAGTTTCACCTACAAATTTCAGTACTTGTGTTCATCATACTGTAAGTCCAGTTGCCACAGATGTTTGTAGACGAGTGCTTGTGTAATTTGGCATAGATCACTTTTTTTCTTCCTTAAGATCGGCTCCATGACAGCTACGTGAGACCTTTCTAACGGCGCTCCAGTGAACACAAGCCGGATGAACTGAGGGTCCAGGAGCAAGTCTTAGCCTCTGTGTCTTTAAATGTTTCGCTGTTTCTTAAAGACATGGTTTTCAGATATTATCTGCTGTGTGTAGTTTTTTAGGCCTGACACTTCTTCTTTTGTCCTCCAGGTGTCCAGTTTCCTTCAATTCTTAAAGGTCAGATGTGTTCTGAGATATGTCAAGTTATTGGTGCAAAAAGACCATTCGATGCTTATCTTTGTGTTGTGTTTGTTATTTGTTTTTTATAGATTAGACTAAAGACGATGTCGTTTAAAATGAGTTCTTTTCTATGCTGTCCTCTCTTGAGTTTGGTGCTTTTTGATGCTTGAGTGCTTCATAGGTTAGTGTTGGGAAGCTTAACTAAAAACAAAAGCAAACAGCTCTGAAAATGGACCGGATTGAAAATGAGTGAAAAGCAGCTATGATGAAAAACTATTGAACCTCAGGCTCACTGTAAGCTCGTTGTTCTTTGTCCTTGGACGTGAATAAATCAAGAAATAAGTAAAGCAACGAGAGGTGTCTCAAGATGTTTGGATAGTACTGTGGAAGGACTTGACAGTTCATACAGAAAGCATAAATCTAATTTTTAGGAATATAAAAGACCGAGTGTACAATTTGTCTGTATTAAAAAATTTATAAACTGAGATTTTATTAAATAAAATAGTATTTAGCTAGTGGATCAGTGCCTGCTTGTGTTTTTTCTGTGCTTCTTTTTATTCAGCTGAAAGCTGAAGCTGAAAGCTGTCTCTCCAGGCTGGTCATCAGATAAAGGCAGTGCGCCTGGCTGACTGATAGTCATGCACTGCCATGAGAATAATGAGACTAATTTCCCTAGCAGATGACCGATAACTCCCAACAACCTTTGTGGAGGAGGGAAAAATGCAGTGATTTCACAGGCACTGTTATTCAGGATTGTTTTCTGCAGCGTGCAGGTTAGAAAGAAAAGGTTGAATGTATTTAGTGGACCATTCACAGCTGAGTGTGTAACCTGGTTTTTCCCTCTGATTATCTCTGCACATCTCTGAATATGAAATAAAGATGATGAAATTCTAATAAACAAAACTGCATTTTTACAACAAGTGTTTTCCTAGCTGCTATGTGCACAGATGCATTTTAGTGCTCCACTTTGTGTCTGTGTCTGCCACTGAAACTGCATCCATGTGAACAGCCTGGAACAGAGCTGCAGTGGTCGAGCATGTGTGCTGCATAGTGGACTCATTGTAACCATGTGCCTTCTGTTTTGTGACAGGGATGTAACTGCAAAAGGCCAGCGGCTCCCCTGCCAGCTCCACATCCCAGCAGACAAAATGAAGGAGGAAATTCCACTCACATGACCTCGCACCACAAGTCTCCATCTTCGTCCGGTCTGAAGAGCAGGGCGACGTCTTAAAGCCCGGTCTCCTCCTTCTGTCAGCTTGCTCGGTAACATTTAAAAGGACAACAATCACTGCCCTGCAACACCTGGACAATTTACCTTACGACTGTTAACTACAACGACTGTTCTCCTGCTATTGCCCTTTCCCTCTTTTAAAGACATATTTTTTTATAATAAATGTTTATCCAAATATATCTATATTGAAGATTGAACTGTGGAACCCTGAAACTGAGTCCAGTCCCTGAGATTTGAATCTAACCGAATTCTCGTCAGACATTTTTTTGGATTAAGAAATTATTTACAGCTATGGATCTTGTAGGTTTTTCTATCAGGCTGCATGTGTTCCTCAGCACATGCCTGGGACTGGAATTTTTAGGTACACCAGGTCAGTGGGCACGCTACCTCCGCTGGGATGCCAGCACCCGCGGTGACCTCAGCTTCCAGTTTAAGACAGAGGCCTCAGACGCACTGTTGCTGTACTTTGACGATGGAGGTTACTGTGACTTTCTACAGCTCTCAGTGGCCGAGGGACTACTGCGGCTGCGCTTCAGCATCGACTGTGCTGAGACCACTGTTGTGTCAGACAGACGGGTAGATGACAGCAGCTGGCACTTTGCCACCCTGAGCAGGTACAACCTGCGCACAGTGCTGGTGCTGGACGGCCAAGCCAAAGCAGGCGAGGTAAAGCCTCAGCGTCAGTTCATGAAAATAGTCAGCGACCTGTTCCTAGGTGGAGTGCCTCAGGATATCCGCAGCGGTGCACTTACACTGCCTACAGTGCGAAACATGCAGCCCTTCAGTGGCACAATCGCAGACCTCAAATACGGCATCTCACAGCCCCTGTTCCTAGGAAGCCTTAACGTGCCGCTGGAGTCGGAAGGATGGTGCACCGTGAACCCGTGTGAGAATGGTGGGATGTGCACAGTGGTGGACGGAGAACCGGTTTGTGACTGCTCCAAAACAGAATACAAGGGCCGCTTCTGCAGCGAAGGTAAAACACCTAGAAATCCTGCTGCTATTGATCCTGAAGGATTTAGACATGACTGCTAAAAAGTTTAAACTTGGCCTGTCAGCCTCTCAGTATCCTGGCGGTTGGTAGCGACGTCTTCCAGGGTATAGTTATGTTCCCCTTTTCTACTGTAATGAGACTTTATTTGAAAGATCTTCTGACATCTTCTGTTTCTGAAACAGCGTTTGTGTTAGCATGTGGCTAATAAGCAGTGTAACCCCGCCTATATTCTTACTCCTACGTGGTTTCGCTCTAAGAGGCAAAGCTGAACTAGCTCAAATAAGAATGGGCTTTAGCTGGGACAGTATATAGCCGACTTTAGTGTAGATTACTTCATAATAAGAATGTTAAAACGTTGTCCTTTTGCACATAACTTGGCTTTTTTCCCTCCGCTGTCACAGCAGGAATCTGGGCGAGCGTGTGGATGTGTTTTTGTATGATTACACCATAAAATCAGAATCTAATCCAGCCACAGTTAGTGAAGTCCAGGTTAATGACATCGGCCCTGCAGGCAGTGATAAGGATGCCTTTCCAGAGAACGGGCCCCCCGAGTCCCTTTTCTTTACCCAATCACACGATGGCAGGTGCTTTATATCACATTCTTTTGTGCTGACAATTTTGCTGGAGCTGTGTTTCAATTGCTTTACAGATGTGTGTAGCCAGGGTGAAATTGATTTCTATTTAAAGAAACCTCCTTTACTTATTTCCTCCCTACAGGCCAAATAAAAGGCACGTTGATTGACTTTACATAGAAACTTCTTGTCATTTGATAAATCCTGAGCTCTGAAAATTCGCTTCTTTCTCTGTGAACAGTACCACTGGTACATGAAATAGATCCCAGCACCTCTCCTTTTATGTGCGCTGAAAACTCTTTCCATGAATTTAATTATTCACAATCAATACACATTTGTCCAAACCACCATCCTTCAGCTACTAAGTAGACACAATAATCTGACTCCTTATAAGATAATCAATACCACTTAGATGAAAAAGTCCCTGGACTCTTTTTTTGTTTAATTAATTTAGATCAGATGTCATTTAAATACATTTATTCTTCTCTTTTCCTCCGTTTTTTGTAGACTTTGGCGTGCTTCTCTTAACCTTTCACAAATATAGAATTTCCATCCCATTTGGGCTGATGCCACATCCCCAGCACACAGACAAAGGCCAGGGAATCTGGAGTTTAAAGATTAGACTCTTTTAATCTGTCTTCGAGGTAGGAGGAGGTATGAGGGCTTTCCTTTTTCTCTCTGTCTTGGTGGTAGCTCAGCTGCTTTGCCTTTGTACAGCTGATTGAAGGAAGGCATTTAACTCACATGGAGGGAAGAAGTGTTTGTGCATTGATTCGTGTCTTTTGGTTGCTTTTGAGAACTGGAGAAGACTGCCTAACGTTTAATATCATGTGCAGAGTGGAGGACTGTCTGCTTGAGAGGGGAAGCCACACTTTCTGTATACTGACCTGTCTGCTCCCAGAGCCAGTCCAATATATAAGAACATTTTGTTATCCTGCTATCAGACCTGTTATTTGCCTTCATCCTTTACTATTTAGAAGATTTATAACATTTCTAAATGGGACATTTGGGCAGGGATCTTTCAGAATTTAGTTTAGTTTCCATTTAGTTTCTTGTTTTTTGTCTTAAAGCCTGATTCTTTGGGATGCGTTTGCTGACGTTTCCTACAATATGGTTTTTACATGAATAGAATGAAACCTATAAAGACATGTCTGTAGTCTCAGCTCAGGGAAGCATTTGTCCAAGTTTGTTCTGTCTTTAGACTGATGGATTAAAAAAATGATGGTAACTTAAGATAAGGTGACGTCAGAAGATTATATTGCTGTAAGAGAGAGAGCCCACTTTTGAATCTGTTACCATCTAACCATCTGTCAAAACTGGCACAGTTTCAGGAAACAGAAGCAGGTCAACACAGGTACAAGTTTCTCTAGTTTTTTTTTACTCAGAATATTTTTATTGAACAATTGTGGATAAAGTTAACAAAACAAGAGAGAAAAAGACGAAGGCAAACATAAAAACAGGCTACACGGAATACAAAACAGAACTTCTCACGTTGGAACATAAAAAACATACAATTAACAAAACGTTTCTCTAGTTT